GGAACAGAGAGAAGCTAGGCCCAGCCTACCCTAGAGAAGTTCGTTTGAAAAGAGAGAGATGCACACCCACCAGGTAGTGAGGAGACCCTCCTAGATAGTAGAGCTTCCTGTTAGCAGCCCAGGAAGGTGGGTAGAAAGGGAGTTCTGTCATGTTTGGAATCTTGTTCGTTAGTGGAAAATCATCTTGCTATGGTGTAATCTCGGCTCACTTCAACCTCCGCCTCCTGGGTTCAAGGGATTCTCCTGCCTTGGCCTCCCAAGAAGCTGGGATTATAGGCACTTGCCACCATGCCCAGCTAATTTGTGTATTTTTAGTAGAGACAAGGTTTCACCATGTTGGCCAAGCTGGTCTTAAGCTCCTGACCTTAAGTGATCTGCCCACCTCGGCCTCACAAAGTTCTGGGATTACAGGTGTGAGCCACAACACCTGGCCCCAACTTTTTTTTTAGTTCTAAGGGTTTTTTTGAGACAGGATCTCAGTCTTGTCTTCCAGGCTGGGATATGGTGGCACAATTACAGCTCACTGTAACCTTGAACTAGGCTCAAGCAATCCTACTTTAGTCTCCTGGGACTACAGGCCATGCCATCACACCTGGGTCATTTTTGTTTTTTGGGTTTTTTGGGTTTTTTTTAAGTTTTTTGTAGAGATTAGGTCTTGCTATGTTGCCCAGGCTAGTCTCAAACTCCTGGACTGAAGTGATCCTCTTGCCTCAGCCTCCCAAAGTGCTGGATTATAGGCGTGAACCACCATGTTCAGCCACCTAAGCATATATAACCTCTACAGAACAAGGCTCAGTTTTCTCTGTATCCAACACAGCCTGTCATTCCTGATTGTATACATTGTTTGAAAGGTTTTTGTTTGTTTTTGTTTTTTTGAGAAGGCAGCTCTGGAGTGCAATGGTCATCTCAGCTCACTGCAACTTCCACCTCCCAGGTTCAAGCAATTCTCCTGCCTCAGCCTCTCAAGTAGCTGGGACTACAGGTGTGCACTATCGTGCTCAGCTATTTTGTATTTTTAGTAGAGACCATGCCTAGCTAATTTTTTTGTATTAGTAGAGACAGCATTTTGCCATGTTGGCCAGGCTAGTCTCAACCCCTGACTTCAGGTGATCCACCTGCCTCAGCCTCCCAAAGTGCCAGGATTATAGGCATGAGCCACCTTGCCCGGCCTGTGAGAAGATTTTAAAAATGTATTTGTTTTAGCTGGGGAAGGGGCAAGATAATTGATATTCTGATGGAGTTAAGGCTGAAAAGGGATCCTCCTGCTGCATAGCTCAGGATGCAGCCTATCTAACCGTTAATTATAAAACCTTCAGCAGGTTATTTTCCTCCCAGAAGTCCCCTCTCTCACTCAAGAGAGAGCTGTTTTCCCTTCTCTTTCTTTCTCTCTTTTGCCTATTAAACTTCCACTCCTAAACTCTTAAAAACAAAAAACCTTCAGCTGCAGAAGCCAGTTCTCACTGTTACTCCCCCCAAGAACTGTTGATGGGGAAGTTCCTGAACCTGCATGCAGCTCCCTCAGTGTTAAGCCACGGAAGTAAAGAATCTATGCCCTTTCCCACCCCTGGGCTGGCATCACCCTATTGCTGCCCAGCACAGCAAGTACCTGAGCCCTTCTCTGGCTTGTCAGGACCTGGTCTTCGAAAATCATTCGAGGTGAGTCTTGTGGCAGTACCAAGGGGGTATAGCCCAGCCTACCTGGGAGGCGAGTCCTGTCCTCAGTCTGTGCTACCCAGAGCAGGCGAGGCTGATGTTCTCGAAAGCTTTGGCATTTCCTGAACGCCCATAGAATGGCAAGACTTCCAGAACATAGACAGGCTTAAACAAGCTGATGGCCTCTCACTGAGTCACTGTCACTTGTAAGAACTGAGTCCCATGTGTTAACTTGGTCTCTGAGATCAGGTTTGCTGTTACCACTGCCCTGACCACCAGCAGCCACATGCCTAGCCCCTGCAAGCAGCCATATGCCTAGCCCTGAAAGCCTGGCCTGATCTCTCAGTCATCCCTGCCTGCCCCTGAGTGCTCACCCACACAGAGACTGGCCCCACCAGCGTTGCTGCAATCTCCAGAGGCCCTCCACCTGGGCACGGCTCCAGCCCTTTTGGCAGTCACTGCTCTCATCTCTCCTTGTCATTCTAAACAGAAAAATCCCAGTGAGGTGGATTTTCTGTCGTTCTGTTTTGGAATTCCTGGGTTGTCATGGTAGACTTGGCAAATGTGAGTGTTAGATCTGAGTGCCAGGCACTGTTGTGGGCGCTTCCCTTAATAAACATTGAATCCTTAAAGCAAGTCTTGAGGTAAGTTAATAGCTCCAGGTTACAGACAAAACTGGAAGACCAGAGAGGCTAAGTAACTTGTTTAGTGTCAAAATCTAGGCAGTGTGCCTGCAGAACCTACATTTTTTTTTTTTTTTTTTTTTTTTTTTAGATGGAGTCTTGCTCTGTCTCCCAGGCTGGAGTGCAGTGGCAAGATCGTGGCTCACTGCAACCTCTGCCTCCTGGGCTCAAGCAATTCTCGTGCCTCAGGCTCCTCAGTAGCTGGGACTACAGGTGTCCACCACCGTGCTCAGCTACTTTTTTGTATTTTAGTAGAGACAGGGTTTCATTATGTTGGCCAGGTGAGTCTTGGACTTTTGAGCTCAGGTGATTGGCCCATCTCTGCTTCCCAAAGTGCTGAGATTACAGGCATGAACCACCTGTGCCTGGCCAGACCTGTGTTCTTGGTCCCTTGGCAGTACTGTGTGAGACCTACTGAGTTGTCACCCTACAAGCAGTTTGAGGATTCTGTGTAGTCTTAGTCTTAGATCTTAATCCAAATTGTCTCTTTGTGGCCAGGCATGATGGCTCATGCCTGTAATCCCAACACTTTGGGAGGTTGAGGCAGGTGGATCACCTGAGGTCAGGAGTTGGAGACCAGGTTGACCAACATGATGAGACCCCGTCTCTACTAAAAATACAAAAATTAGCTGGATGTTGTGACACATGCCTATAATCCCAGCTACTTAGGAGGCTGAGGTGAGAGAATTGCTTGAACCTGGGAGGTGGAGTTTGCAGTGAGTCAAGATTGTGCCACTGCATTCCAGCCCAGTCAACAAGAGCAAAACTCTGTCTAAAAAACAGTAATAGGGCCAAGCACCGTGGCTCACACCTGTAATCCTAACACTTTGGGAGGCTCAGGCAGATGGAACACCTGAGGTCAAGAGTTTGAGACCAGCCTGATCAACATGGAGAAACCCTGTCTCTACTAAAAATACAAAATATTAGCTGGGCGTGGTGGTGCATGTCTGTAATTCCAGCTACCTGGGAGGCTGAGGCAGGAGAATCACTTGAACCTGGGAGGCGGAGGTTGCAGGTGAGCCAAGATCATGCCATTGCACTCCAGCCTGGGCAAAAGAGTGAAACTCCGTCACAAATAATGATAGTAATTCAGCGGGCGTGGTGATGGGCGCCTGTAATCCCAGCTACTTGGGAGGGTGAGGCAGGAAAATCACTGGAAACTGGGAGGTGGAGGCTGCAGTGAGCCAAGCTTGTGCCACTGCATTCCATCCTGGGCCACAAAGCAAGACTCTGTCTCAAAGTATGTCTCTTCAATCTGGAAGGCAGCAGGAACTCTCTGTGCAGCATCCTCTCCAGCTGACCCCTCCCCTGTCAACCTTAGCTGTCATTTCCTTGTCATTTCCACCTTGTTGAGCTATGGGCAGGGTAGACTGCTGTTCCTTATCACTTAAGTGAAGTTTAGATTGTAATGGAAAAAATGCAGTCTCTTCCTGTGAATCTTCTAGAATCTAGGTCATAGTCTTTCAGAGGGCAACAGGTAGCAGGCCCCACCCCATTTCTTTCTGACCCCTCTCAGCCTTGGAGACACTAGCTTATTTCTCCGTCTGGCTTCCCCCTCCCAAACTCCCTCCAGTTTAGGGAGAAGGCAGACACAGGAAGACCCCCATGTACCTGGACAATTCACTCTTGGGCTCCATGAACTGCTTGGGGTTCAGGGGTCACCTTAGTCCCAGGCTGCCCCACTGAAGACCCCGAGCACACCCTCATCTTTGGCCCTGACCCTACCTCTGGCAAGGAAGGGCATCTGGACCCATCAGGTTTTTTGGTTGTTTTTTTTTTTGGTTTTCACATTTTTATTGGGAGCTGAGGGAGGGCCTGCCTTGGTCAGTGGAGGTGCTCACAGGTTCTTCAGCCACTCCAGTCTGGGCCCCTGGAGGTCCTGGGGGTGGCTGGGTATGTCGGGCATGTTCCCATCATCGCGGACAGGCACTGGGTAGTTGTAGGGCGTGGCCTTGTTGATCATGACAGAGTACTTGAAGTAGGGGCTGATTGGGAGCAGAATTACAGCGAGGGTCCCGATGAAGAAGGACATGACCAGTACTGGCTCCTTGTCCCAAGCATTCTTGAGGAAGGTGCCGAGTCTCGCGGCCATCTTGGTCTCGACGGCGGTGACAGCGGACTTTTAAAAAATTTTTATTTATTTATTTATTTTTTGAGACGGGACCTGGCTTTGTTGCCCAGGCTGGAGTACAGTGGTGTGATCTCCACTCACGGCAACCTCTGCCTCTCAAGCTTAAGTGATCCTCCCACCTCAGCCTCCTAAGTAGCTGGGATTACAGATGCATGCCATCACGCTGGCTAATTTTTTTGTACAGTCAGGGTCTCCTTATGTTGCCCAGCTTGGTCTCCAACTCCTTGGCTCAAGTGATCCTCCCGCCTGGGCCTTCCAAAGTGCTGGGTTTACCGGCGTGAGCCACCGCACCCAGCCCCATCTGGCATTTTTTTCCCACCCACTCAAAATCTCTTTTGGACTCCAGGTTCGGAGCAACGGGCAGGACCCCCGGTGTTGGTAGAGATCGGGCGCTTCTTGCTGAACAGGCCCCCTTCTGCCAGGCGCCTGGTCCACCTCCACGGCCTGGGCTTTGGAGGGGGCCAGCCCGGGTGGGCCGCGGGGATCCCCGGGCAGGCAGCGTCCCCTGGTGTTAGCGGCAGGGACTGCGGGGAGGGGTGGAAGCTGGGAGCTAGGACCCGCTGGAGGCACACGACACGCGCGACCCTCCTGGCCACTCCACTCCCCACCCTGACGTCTACCCTGGTGGAGAAGCTCCTGGGCGACGAGGCAGGCAGGCAGCTGGGACTCGGCCCCCGTCCCATAACTCCGCTCCTGGGCGAGCTTTCGGGCCGCGAGGCCCGGGCGGGGAGGGGCCGGGCCGGGGGCGGCCTGGCAGGAAGCGGCGCGCACCTTCCGCCGCGGGAGGAGCAGGTGGCTGCCGTGCAGGTCCGGGCCCCAGGCTTCCTGTGTAGGCGCCCATCTGCTGCTGTTTCCCGCCGGAGCTCGTTGGGCCGCCCCGGCCCGCCCGGCCCATGGCCCAGACCCCCGACGGCATCTCCTGTGAGCTGCGAGGTAAGTGTTGGCCCTTTCCGCCTTCTTGGCCCGGAGGAAGTAGTGCAGCCGCAGAATCAGAGGCCCACCCAGCACCCTCGGAGCGCCAGGCCAGAGGTCCTCTCTGCTCCCCAGGAAGGCGGGCCCTCCAGATCCTCTCTCCTCCTTCCTCGATGGCCACAGATAACCCCCAGGGCCCCAGCTTGGCACAGACTTTGGGCACCAGTGGCTTCTGTGCAGGGACGGAAGTCATCCAGCAGGCTGCCTTTCCACAGGAGAGATCACCAAGTTCCTGTGGCCCAAGGAGGTGGAGCTGCTGCTGAAAACCTGGCTACCTGGGGAGGGCGCTGTGCAAAACCATGTCCTGGTATGGGGCAGGGGGCAGAACTGGGGAGGCAGCTGTGGCCCCGCAGAAAGAGCAGCTTGCTCTGCCCAGGGTATCAGACTGTCTTTCCCCAGGCGCTGCTGCGGTGGAGAGCCTACCTGCTGCACACGACCTGCCTCCCGCTGAGGGTGAGTCCCAGGGCTTGGCCACGCACACCCGTCCCCAACCCCAGCAGCCACCCTGGCAAGGGGCTGCATCTGCAGAGTGCTCCTTCTTGGCCTTGTGGGCCCTGACTTTGCACCAGCCCTGGGCTCCTGGCAGCCAGCAGGAGTGGAGTCCAGGCAGGTCTGGCTCTGTTCCAGGGCGCCCAAATAACTGGGCTTCCATGAGGGTGGGGCTCAGGGCTCAGTCCCAGCTGATCTAGGTGCTTCCTAGGTGGACTGCACATTCAGTTACCTAGAGGTCCAGGCCATGGCGCTGCAGGAGACACCCCCCCAGGTGAGACACCTAGTACCCCACCTGGGCCTGCAGCCTGGTCTTCATGCCCCCACCATCCCCTGTGCCCATGTGTGGAGCCGAGGCCCAGTAGTCCCCCTTCCCTAGGTCACCTTTGAGCTGGAGTCCCTGCGTGAGTTGGTCCTGGAGTTTCCTGGTGTGGCTGCCCTGGAACAGCTGGCCCAGCATGTGGCAGTGGCCATCAAGAAGGTCTTCCCTTGCTCGACCCTTGGGTGAGGCCTGGCAAATTCAAGGGGCTGGCAGGGGAGGAGGGAGTGAATCAGAAGGGCACACACGGGCTGCTTTCATCCCAGAGGCTGGAAGCCCCTTGCCCCCTTCTCCTTAACCCCCTCCCAGGAAGCTATTCCGGAGGCCCACACCCGCCTCTATGCTGGCTCGGCTGGAAAGAAGCAGCCCCTCGGAGTCCACTGACCCCTGCAGCCCCTGTGGTAAGGGCTAAGGCAGGGACACAGGCCTTCTGGCCTGCCCACCTCTGCCTCCCAGGCCCCCAAGCTGGAGGGCCCCTAAATGAACAGAGCCATTCAGGTCACAGCCACCACCTAGCCTGTGGGACTGGTCTTTCTCCATTGCTGACCTTTTGTCTCTGTCCTTCCCTCCATCACACCGCTGTCCCCTCCCCAGGTGGCTTTTTGGAGACCTACGAGGCTCTGTGTGACTACAATGGCTTCCCTTTCCGAGAGGAGATTCAGTGGGTGAGAGTAGGACCCTTCTGGTGGGCTCTGGAGACATCTGGTCCCCTATGTGTGCTGAGTGCCTCCCTGCCCCTTGTGGCCCCAAGGGAATTGTAAGCATCTCCTTCTTGCCCAGGATGTGGACACCATCTACCATCGCCAGGGGTGCCGCCATTTCAGCCTGGGAGACTTCAGCCACCTCAGCAGTCGGTGCGTGACCTGCCAGAATGGGAGAGGAAGAAGAGCCTGGGGCCCATATCCCTGGGCCTCAGCTTCTCCATGGAGGGGCTGCTGGGTCTGGGACCCGGCCAGAGGGCCCTGAGCTCTGCTTCTCTTCCCACCTTCCCACCAGGGACCTGGCCTTGAGTGTGGCTGCCCTGTCCTACAACCTGTGGTTCCGGTGCCTCTCCTGTGTGGACATGAAGCTGGTGCGGGGGTGGGGCATAAGGGCAGGGAGGGACCAAGGGGTATGCGCCAGGGTGCAGCCTGCTGAGCCGCCACCCTCTGGTTCTCAGAGCCTTGAGGTCTCCGAACAGATTCTGCACATGATGAGCCAGTCATCCCACTTGGAGGAGCTGGTGCTGGAGACCTGCGGCCTAAGGGGGTGAGGGGGCAGAGCAGGGCTTGGAGAGGAGATTCTGGGGGCTTGAGATTGGGGACTAGTGGCCTAGGGAGGGTTTGGCAAGCCAGGGGCAGAGTCTCATGCCTGGGGTCTGGTCCCCAGAGACTTTGTCCGACGACTGGCCCAGGTGCTGGCAGGACACTCGAGCTCTGGGCTGCGGGAGCTAAGCCTGGCGGGGAACCTGCTGGATGACCGAGGTATGGCTGAGCCTGGGGACCGCAGGGGCAGGGGGCGGGAGGAGGTGAGACCCACGTGGCTGCTCCCACCCGGCAGGCATGGCTGCACTCAGCAGATACCTGGAGGGTTGTCCAGGAGCCCTGAGGAGACTCAACCTTGCCCAGACAGGGTTGACACTGAGAGGTAGACTGGATGAGGGAGGGGTGAGGGGAAAGGGTGGGGGTCTGCCTTCTGCCCAACTGCTGAGCCACCCCACCCCATCACCAGGAATGAGGGCTCTAGGCCAGGCACTGGCCGCCAATGCTGCCTTCGACTCCATCCTGACCCAGCTGGACCTTTCTGGGAACCCCGGGGCGCTAGGGCCCTCCGAGGACAGTGGGGTGAGTGGCTGTCTTGAGGGTGGGAGCTTGAGGTTGCTTGGAAGCCCTGGGTAGGCGATCACTGACGCCATCCCACCCCTGTCCTCCCGCCAGGGCCTCTATACCTTCCTGAGCCGTCCTAACGTGCTGTCATTCCTGAACCTCGCAGGCACTGACACCGCCCTGGACACTGTGAGGGGTTGCTCCGTGGGGAGATGGATGATCTGCAGGGCGGACTGGAGGGTGGGGCGGGAGGGGGGGGCTCGGTACCCCCGCGGGTGCAGCCAACACCCTCCCCCCGCAGCTCTTCGCAGCGCTGTCCCGCGGCTGCTGCGCCAGCCTTACCCACCTCGATGCTTCGAGGAACGTCTTCTCCCGCACGTAAGGGGGACCTGTCGGGGCCGGGGGAGGCTGCTGGAAGCCGCCTCCTTGCCCCCAAGCCTACTCTCCCGCTCCCCCCAGGAAGTCCCGCGCCGCGCCGGCCGCGCTGCAGCTCTTCCTCAGCCGCGTGGGGACCCTGCGGCACCTGGGCCTGGCAGGCTGCAAGCTGCCGCCCGACGCACTCAGGTCAGTGTCTGACTCGGGCCACGCCCCCGCGGGAGCGCCCACCCCGCCCCGGCCTCTGCCCCTCCCCGTTCCCGCTCCTGTCGCGCCCACAGCCTCCCCCAGATCCTGGCCCTGCCTCCTGCGTTCGCACCCTGGAGCCCCCTGTCTCAGCTCCTGCCACCTGCTGTAACGTCCCCTTCCAGGGCCCTTTTGGATGGCCTCGCCCTCAACATGCACCTCCGCGACCTGCATCTGGACCTCAGCGCTTGCGAGGTGAGCGCCGGCCCCAGAAGAGACCACACATTGGGAATGGTGCTGGGAGGCGGGAGAGTGGGACCGTGGGCCGCCAGCCTCTCCCCACTTGCGGCCTGAGTGGGTCCCGCCTCCCACCTCCCACCTCCAGCTGCGCTCGGCCGGCGCCCAGGTGATACAAGACTTAGTGTGTGACGCAGGCGCTGTGAGCTCCCTGGATCTGGCGGATAACGGTGAGGGCGCAGGGAAGCGCAATCTCGCGTCATCCACTTGATTCCCAATCCCCACCCTACCCTTGCAACTTCGCCTCGTGCGTGACCCGAGTCACCCCCAGGCTTTGGCTCGGACATGGTGACTCTGGTGCTGGCCATTGGGAGAAGCCGGTCGCTGAGACACGTGGCGCTTGGAAGGAACTTCAACGTCCGGTGCAAGTGAGCCCCCCTCCACTCCAGGGCCTCCCAGACAACACCCCACCATCCCTGTCCCCCACAACCGCGGTCCCTGCCCACAGGGAGACCCTGGATGACGTCCTGCACCGGATTGTCCAGCTCATGCAGGACGACGACTGTGTGAGTTCACCGGACCTTGCAGGGTCCTTGGGCAATTAGACCCCTTTGGTCCTCTCTCTCTTGCCCCCTCAGACCCTGTGACCTGCCCTTACCGACCCCTGACTCCAGCCATCAATGGCTTTCTCTTAATCCCAGCCTCTTCAGTCTCTGTCAGTGGCTGAGTCTCGGCTGAAACTGGGCGCCAGCGTCCTACTCCGAGCCCTGGCCACCAATCCTAACCTCACCGCGCTGGATATTAGCGGCAACGCCGTGGGGGACGCGGGCGCCAAGTTGCTGGCCAAGGCGCTGCGGGTCAACTCGAGGCTCCGGTGGGCGGGGTCAGAGGGGTGGGACCAGCGGGCGGGGGGCGCGGTGGAGAGGAGGGCACCGGGCTGAGGGGCGGGACTGAATGAGGCGGAGCAAATGAAGCTAGTGGAGGAGGCAAAAAAGACGAGGCCGAGGGTTGGGTAGGGCGTTGTGGAACTGTGCTCCCGACTGAAGCCAGGCCTGGCCCAGGTCTGTGGTCTGGGACCGGAACCACACATCTGCTTTGGGCCTGCTGGATGTGGCGCAGGCGCTGGAGCAGAACCACACCCTGAAGGCCATGCCTCTGCCACTGAATGACGTGGCCCAGGCGCAGCGCAGCCGCCCGGAATTGACAGCACGTGCAGTGCATCAGGTGGGCGTCGGCCTCCTCCCTTGCCCTTCTCTGCACCTGCACCATATCCCTCCTACGGCATTTCTCAATACCCCTTGCCCCTAGATCCAAGCCTGTCTCTTGAGAAACAACCGTGCAGACCCTGCCTCTTCTGACCACACGGCCCACCTTCAGCCACTCAGTCTGGTCTCAGGCCCCTCAGAGCAGGTCAGTATCCTCTCCCCAACCACGGGAGATAGGGCATGAGGAGACCTGTGGCACCTGGGAGCCTCCATGAGTCAGAGGGTCTGACTTTCGTGGGTTCAGGGTGCCTGAGCCCTGCTGTCCCAGACAAAGTCCCTCTCCTTGGTCTGGAGAGGCTAAACACTCCTAAAATTGCTCTCCATATAACACCCTTGGCTGCCTAATGTTAAGCACGTAAACAGACTGTCCTGTTAAAGAGGAATTTTTATGTTCTCCCTCAATTTCTCCCCAGTTGTAGCCCCATCTCTGACTTCACATATACAGGGCTCCCTTCCCCTCTCCATTGTGTACCCACACCTAGCCGCTCCTTCTCTGGCTTCATCTCCCTCCGCTACCTTATCGGTTGGAGATGTTTCCACCTCTCCATTTCCAAATACTTCCTCTTTCCTCAGCTGCAGAGCCCAAAGGTCTTGATCCAGACATCCTGCAGGGCTTCATTCTCTGCACTTCTATAAGTGATATCATTGTCTCCCACGAACCCTGTTCTCTACCCTGGAGCCCAATCCCACTGGTGCCCATAGCCACCCAATGCTGTGGACAGAGGTTGGGGCATCCTTCCAGGTCTCTCCTGGTCACACTGCAGCCCTCATAGCTCTCCTTGGTTCTGCCTCTGGACCACCCTTCAAACATGCCACTCCTTACCCCCACACCAATTATCCCTTGCTCCTCCTGGCCCCTCCTCCAGGGCCACTCACTCCTTTTTCCACCCCTCTCCCAGCCTATCCTCTGTGTGTGTGGACAGATTGAGCTTCTAAAACACAGATATAATTTACAACTCCTTTCCTTCCTATTCTGGGCACTTAGTAAGTATATATAAAGTCCTTAAAATGAACCAAAGCAACAGACAGTTCCCTCCCTCCTTGAACAGATAGGGTTCTGAAGTGGCTGGTCTAATAGTGCCAGCTTTAGGACCGCCCTCACTCTGTTAAACAGCCTAGGAGGAAGGCAGGTAGGATCTGGGAGACTGGGAGGGGGCTAGGCTAAGACTGATCCCTATTCTCCCACAGGAAGTGAATGAACTGTGTCAGTCGGTGCAGGAGCATGTGGAGCTCCTGGGCTGTGGGGCTGGGCCCCAGGGTGAAGCCGCTGTGCGCCAGGCCGAGGATGCCATCCAAAATGCCAACTTCTCTCTCAGTGTGAGCACTCCCCCTCCTGCTACAAGGACCTGACCCTCTTAGTCAGGTGTCACCTTGCAACTGCTGTTCCTCTTTGGCCCTCAGATTCTCCCCATTCTATATGAAGCTGGAAGCTCCCCAAGCTATCACTGGCAGCTTGGGCAGAAGCTGGAGGGCCTTCTGGGACATGTGGGCGAGGTCTGCCGCCAGGACATCCAGGTGAGTTGGTACTCCTGCCCCAGCCCCACCACAATTTGCAGGTTTGATCCCCATCCTATAGTTTTAACTGTTACATCCCCTGACTCATATTCAATTGGAGTTGGAGCCTCAAGCCACCAGCCTGGTGTCTGGCCACATCCTCACCATGCTCTGATCTTTGTCCAGGACTTCACTCAGGCCACCCTGGACACAGCAAGGAACCTCTGCCCACAGATGCTACCAGGATCCAGCTGGAGGGAGCAGCTAGAGGGGGTTCTGGCAGGCTTGAGGGGCCTCCCGGAGCTGCTCCCAGAGCAGCTGCTGCAAGATGCCTTCACTCGACTCAGGTAGGGTGGATGTGGCTGGGCTGGGGAAGGCTGAGCAAAACCAGCCCATTAACCCCTGTCCTCTCCTGGCCTTAGGGACATGCGGCTATCAATCACCGGGACCTTGGCAGAGAGCATTGTGGCTCAGGCTTTGGCAGGCCTGAGTGCAGCCCGGGATCGGCTGGTGAGGGAGAGATGTGCACACACTTTGTTGCAAACACACACACACACACAATAACTTGGCCATCTCCCTTGCAGCGGCTCTGTAATGACTTCTGGGGTCATGTAGCCCAGGGCTATTTCAGGGTCCCCTTAGCACCAGTGGGATCTGGCTGAGGCCCTACCTGCCATCTTTGGCTGCTTGGTATTGCAGGTGGAGAATCTGGCTCAGCAGGCAACAGTGACAATGCCCCCTTCCCTACCGGTTCTGAATGGAGGTCAACCCAGCCCCCTTGAGCCCGGGGAATTGGAAGGTCTTTTCTTCTCCAAGGAGGAGAAGGAAGAAGAGGAGGAAGAGAAGGTAAGTGGTTTTAGAACCTGAGGCATAGAACTCCCATTCTTCCCATCTTGGTCTGGAGTGTGGACAGCGAAAGGCAGCTCTTCTGGGGTGGTACTCTCCTACCCCAGGCTGAGTTTGTGCCTTCCCCACCAGGATGACAGTCCTGCACGGAAATGGCCTGAGCTCAGCCATAGTCTTTACCTGGTCCCCTTCATTCACAGTAAGTCAGGGTCTTGGGAGAGGGAGTTTACCTGAGAGGGCTGAAGCTCCCCATTAGACATGGGGACCCGGGGACCTGGACAAACTCATTCAGCCTTGTCTGGGTACACCCCAGCCCTTGACTGGCCCAGCCAGGCCAGGATTCCCATGCAACCTGCAAAGCTGAGGTCTGCTGTGGTCAGTCCTGGGCGAGACCTGGGCAGACCAGGGACAGGACACCCGCTCGGCTCGCTTCCTCCCGCCCCTTTCGCTACCCCCAGGACGCGCATGCTTGGCGGTGGCGCGGAGCCGCGCGCACTCGGGGACGCGCTCAGCACCACGGACAGCGGCGGGGGGAGGGGCAGAGGGGCGGGGGGACGGGCGCCGTAGCCGGGCCCCTCCCCGCGCCCTGGGCGGGTCCCCCGCCGCCCTAACGCCTCCGCCACCACCTCCCCGGTCTCAGGCTCGGTGCTTTTCTGGTGCCGTCCCCTCAGGTGCTGCTGAGGAAGCAGAGCCGGAGCCCGAGCTGGCGGCTCCGGGAGAAGATGCGGAGCCGCAGGCGGGGCCATCCGCGCGCGGCTCTCCGAGCCCTGCCACTCCCGGGCCCTCGGCTGGCCCGCTGCCCCACATGGACCTGCCATCCGCGGGACAGCCCCTGCGCCATCCGACCCGGGCCCGGCCGCGGCCGCGCCGCCAGCACCACCACCGTCCGCCGCCGGGGGGCCCCCAGGTGAGCACCCTTCCCCGACTCCCGAGCGCGTGGATTTGGGGGTCGCGGGTGGCTCAGCCGCTCCTCATGAGTGTTGGCGGTCAAGTAGAGGGGGTGGTAGGGGTCCAAGGCCACCTGGCCATACGATCATGGTCACATCCTGGCCATCCCCCACCCCGGGGTATGCATGTGCGGTTCCATTCGGGGTGTGCCTGGGTGTAGGACTCCGCCTCGGAGAGGCCTGCGGCCTCGGTGGCTGCGCGAGAGAGGGTGGCCGTCCTCCCTCCCCGGGGCTGCTGAGAGATGTCGGGCCGCGGGGCCAAGCTTGCGTCTGCTGCGCCTCCGGCGGCAGCGCGTGTGAGGAGATGCCTGTGTGGGCTGCGAGCCCGCGGAGGCAGCGGGCACTGGCGGAGGGTGGGGAGGAGTCGGCTTGAGGCCCCCCAGAGGGTCTGACGCAGCAGCTGGCGCCACTGAGCCGGCAGCAGGCCGAGTGGAGTGGGGGTGGGGTGGGGGACACTGCAGGAAACTGTTCGGAGCAGAGCTGGTGACTAGTGGGAACAGATAACCCCAGGGGAAAGGGGGAGCTAGGCTTGCTGGTGACCGGGTGGCTAGAGCGTGTAGGATACACTGTGGGACAAGGACAGGTGTGCAGAAACCAGCTGCGGGTGAGTGTGTGAAATCTGGTGTCTGTCCAGCAGCTGGACAGTGGGAGGCTGGTATCAGCAGTCTCCTAGGGTCACCCTAGTCTGGGATTCTGGAGTTATTCAGGCCAGGCTGCCGGACAGGGAACAGGGGAAAAGCCAGAGTTGTACTCAGCCCTGACCCCTGACCCCACAATGCCCTCCAGGTGCCCCCCGCCTTGCCGCAGGAAGGGAATGGGCTCAGTGCCCGAGTGGATGAGGGCGTGGAGGAATTCTTCTCCAAAAGGCTGATTCAGCAGGATCACCTGTGAGTGAGGGGCATCTTAAGGGGGTGGGAGAGGGTGGAACGCTTCATAGGCTTTCTCACTCACTGCTGAGTGTCCCCACAGCTGGGCCCCGGAGGAGGACCCGGCCACTGAGGGGGGCACCACTCCTGTCCCCCGTACACTGCGAAAGAAGCTGGGCACCCTCTTTGCCTTCAAGAAGCCTCGTTCAACACGGGGCCCACGGCCTGATCCAGAGACCAGCCCTGGGGCAGCTCCCCGAACCAGAAAAACTACATTTGGTGACCTGCTGCGGCCGCCAACCCGTCCCAGCCGTGGTGAGGAGCCTGGTGGGGCTGAGGGGGACACCAGCAGCCCTGACCCTGCCCGAAGGAGCCGACCTCGATACACAAGGGATAGCAAGGCCTACTCGATGATACTGTTGCCTGCCGAGGAGGAGGCAATGCTGGGTGCCAGACCTGACAAGGTGAGGCTTCCTGACAGGGGGTGAGGGCGCTTCTGGGACCCAGGGCATGAGCCGTCTCCAACTCAGCATCTGTCCCTAGCGGCGGCCCCTGGAGAGGGGAGAAACAGAGTTGGCTCCATCCTTTGAACAGCGGGTACAAGTGATGCTGCAGAGGATAGGCGTCAGCCGAGGCAGCGGGGGTGCTGAAGGCAAGAGGAAGCAAGTGAGTTTGGGGAACATGAGCGTGAAGTGAGAGGGCAGGTGGCATGCTGTGGGTGACATATGTGACCAAGATGGAGACTCATGACTGGTCTAATTGGCAGTTCCACTCCCTCCTCAAAATAGATTCAGCCTTTCTTCCTTCTTGGCTTCTACCCAGGTACAGGCCACCCTTATCTCCTCTGGACCTGAGAAAGTCCTTTCTCTGCAGGTCCAACAGAAACCTGACGCCCAGTCCAGGTGTGGTGGCTCACGCCTGTAATCCTTACACTTTGGGAGGTTGAGGCTGGTGGCTCACCTGAGGTCAGGAGTTACAGAACAGCCTAGCCAACATGGTGAAACCCCATCTCTACTAAATATACAAAAACTACCTGGGTGTGATGGTGCACACCTATAGTCCCAGCTATTTGGGAGGCTGAGGCAGGAGAATCGCTTGAACCCAGGAGACACGAGGTTGCAGTGAGCCTAGACTGCGCCACTGCACTCCGGCCTGGATGACAAGAGTGAGATGACTCCATCTCAAAAAAAAAAAAAAAAAAAAAAAAAAAAAGAGAAAAATCTGATCTTGTCACCTGTACTTGAAACAGCAAGTCTTCCAGGGGCTTCCTCTCAAGACACTGTTCAGTCTTCAAACCCAGCTCTGGGGCCCTGTAGGGGGTCTTGGCCCAGGCCACCTTAAAACCTCACTACTCTCAGCCAGGCATGGTGGCCCATGGCTGTAATCCCAGCACTTTGGGAGGCCAAGGAGGGTGGATCATGAGGTCAGTAGTTCAAGACCAGCCTGGCCAAGACGGTGAAACCCCAACTCTACCTTTAAAAAAAAAAAAAAAGGAACAAAAAAACTAGCTGGGGTGTGGTGGCAGGCACCTTTAATCCCATTTACTCAGGAGGCTGAGGCAGAGATTGCTTGAACCTGGGAGGCGGAGATTGCAGTGAACTGAGATCATGCCACTGCACTCCAGCAGCCTAGGCAACAATGAGACAAACCACCTCACTGCTCTCCTCCCCTAGGTGCAAATCAAGAGCCTCCACACACGTCCCTGTATCTGGGTGTCCTCCCTACCTCACTTCCAGTCTCTTAATTGTGGGTTACACCAGGTCCCTCCTCAACCATCCACACAGTGTCCACGGTCCTTCCCTGACTCTCCTCTTTGGCCACCCTGCTAATGTCACTCTCTTCACAGTCCCAAAGAACTCCAGCCCTCTGTACTATCCATTCAGTACCTTAAAAAAACAAACACATGAAGTTAGCCTGAATTTAGAAACATTCAAGTGTGTGAAGAGTTCTAAGACTGGACTGGGTGTGCCATGTTCTTGTCGAGCCCATGGTGGGTATTCAGGAGCTGGGTTATAAGAACAAGAATGAACAAAAGGCTAGGGTGTGAGGAGGGGGCAGGGCTGGAATCTGACTGCCCTGTTTCCTACAGAGCAAAGATGGCGAGATCAAGAAAGCTGGCTCAGATGGTAAGTGGGACCCTGGGGTGCGGCAGTACATTTGCCAGGAGGTGTCCTTACAGACAGCCCCCAGGGCACTTGCTCTCCTTGGGAAGGAAGGGGAGAGGCCAGGTTTTTCTTCCCCTCATCTCCAAGGTCTGGTGCCCGAGTCCCCAACTCCACCTTGCAGGTGACATTATGGACAGTTCCACGGAGGCCCCTCCCATCTCAATGAAGTCCCGCACCCACTCTGTGTCTGCTGGTGAGTGAGGGCCAGTGTGTGTGTTAGTAGGGGAAGCAGAGATGGACAGAAGCAGGGTCATACGGTGGTTCAGACTTATCTCTAAGGCCTGACTAGGTCTTGGCTGACACCCTTTTCCCCACAGACCCCTCCTGCAGACCTGGCCCAGGAAGCCACGGGCCTGAGTCTGCCACCTGGAAGACACTGGGGCAGCAGTTGAATGCAGAGCTCAGGAGCCGTGGGTGGGGCCAACAGGATGGTCCAGGCCCTCCCTCCCCTGGTCAAAGCCCAAGTTCCTGCAGAGCCAGCCCCTCCCCAGACAGCCTGGGCCTCCCAGAGGACCCCTGCTTGGGCCCCAGGAGTGAAGGTAGGTAGCCACCCGATTCCCCACCCCAATCCTGGGCTGGGGACTGGAGGAGTTCCTGCTGGGAACTCAGCTCCTCTAAGGACCCTGAGGGTGGGAGGCAAGGGCTGGAGTCGGGGCGGCTGTTGGAACACCCCTGATTCCCTGGCCTCCCTCAGATGGCCACCTGAGGCCAAGGCCTCTCTTGGCAGGGCGGCGAGCAGTGTCTGTGCACGAGGACCAGCTCCAGGCCCCTGCTGGTGAGGGGAGACACCTCCATCTGTGCTTGAATGCAGGAGGGTGGGCTTCTGGGGCTCCCTTCATGGCTTTGATCCTTGGAGGGAGGCACCAGTGTGTGAGGACTCAAGAAATCAGGGAGCCAGAAGGCCAGGTGCAAGGGTTTGACAAGCCCTTCCAACTAGCCCTGATTCCACTTCCCAAAGAGCAGCCTCTGCTGGAGTGAGGATGCAGGGATGGGGGATGCTCTGAAGGCAGCAGTGTGTGTGAGCACATGCTTGCGTGCACTGGAGGTGGGAGAGAGGGCAGGGGATGGACAGACCTCAAGCCCTTAGCAACCCACCTCAAGCCTTTCTGTGTTCCTTAGAACGGCCCCTGAGGCTGCAGCGCTCCCCCGTCCTCAAACGCAGGCCGAAGCTCGAGGCACCTCCATCCCCAAGCCTAGGTAAGAGTGGGTCCAGGCCAGCTGAGAGGGTGGCAGGACTGCTTAGCCCAGCCCTGACCCTTCCTCTCTCCACCTCCCTCCCCTCACAGGATCTGGACTTGGAACCGAGCCTCTGCACCCAAAGCCCACAGAGCCCTCCAGCCCTGAGAGGAGCCCACCCTCCCCAGCCACAGACCAAAGAGGCGGCGGTCCCAATCCCTGATCCTCTCCTCTCCTGCCGCATGAGATTATTTTATTAAAAAACTCGAAGCAGAGTGTGGAACAGTTATTTGTTCTGTGTGTACACATCCTCCAGTATCCTGTGTGACCTCTCACATCGGAGTTACCTCAGACTCTGGCTGTGGCTCCATCAGAAAGTGCAAGGCCCAGGCCACGAGCTGGGGAGGAAGCCTGGGAAGGAATCATGGCTGCAGGTCAATGGAGCCTGGTACTAGTGACTAAGAGTGGGGGCAGACCCAGGCACTCACCTGGCAGCTTCGACCTGAGCACAGAGGGATGTGCAGGGTGGCTCGTACTGATATTGGAAGGCAGAACCATCACGATGCCTCTTTGGGGGTTCCTGAAAGGGGTATGGTGTCTGGGGAACAAGGACCCCAACCCCATCCAAGGCTACCCCTGCTCCCTCCCACCTCTACCTCAGGCCTTCCTCATTCTACCCTCCAACTGCAAAGGGGCTATGCTCACCCAGACAGGGCAGGACTCCTGGGCTCCCTTGGTACTTCTGGTCCCGGGAAAAGGCTGCCGACTCTTGCAGAGCAACCCTAGCTCCTTTAACTCCAAGCTAGGTTTCTGGGACCTGGTCCCAAGAGCGTGGTGTGGACTGGAGACACGGCCACGGGGTGAGAGACTGGGGGTGCAGCTCTGGAGTGGGGAGCTGGGGGTCACAGGGGCAGGGGCTGAACAGATAGCTGGTGGGGGCTGGGAGCTGCTCTTCTGCTCTAGGTCTGGGGCAGCCAAGGACAGGGCAGGCAGAAGGCTGATGCTCACACCACTTTCCTGAGATGACATGTGACCGGGTAAGGCTGGGGCTCCTGAGGAGGAGAGGACTTATTGTAGGCACAGCCCTCTCTGCTCAGAGCAGCTGAGTGGCCTGCGAGCTCAGACAGGACTGCAGGAACTGCGTTCATCCCCCACCCCCATGCACCTTTTCACAGCATCCTGCACAGCCTGGGAATCAGGCTCACAGATAGCAGTGAGTGCCTGTGACTTGTGCATCGCCTCACCTGAGGAACTGGGTGAGGAAGGAGGAGAGATGAGGGTCAGGGATAGGTCCTGCAGAGCCGGGTCTGGTAGTGGCAGCTTGGGGCCTGGAGGGTTCAGGAAGGCTTATCAGCACTGTGGACCTGTGCCCCAGGGTATCCCCCCAAACTCTCCAGTCCCCCTTACCCTGTATCCTCTGACACGGTCGTAGAGAGCTCAAAATTAGCTGGTCATTCTCAGAGATGCACAGTAGTGAGCTTGGGACAGTGTACACAGCTTCTCCCTGTGGGACGTGAACTCTCAGCATGACCCTTGCCCAATTTCTCACCCTGACATCTCCCAAAAAAAGCCCCAGACTGACCGTGGCCCTGCAGCGTGAAGCAGCCCAGTGGGTGAGAGGGGGTGCTGTACAAGGACCCTCCAGCTTTAGGCAACTCTCAGCCAGGCACACGAGTGCCCCCTGATGCTCCTGGTCCTCCCGCATTTCATCCAGAAGCTGGGACAGTGATAGGCCTGGGGACAGGAGACCAGAGAATGAGTAGAGGCTTAAAGAGGAGGACCCCCCCCAAAAAATAAAAATAAAAAGAGGACTCCGGAGAGAGAAAGAGAGAGGCGGAGGGGGAGGAGAGCTTAATGAGGAAGCAACAGGTTAAGGCAGGAGAGATCACTGCACAGGGTGTTAGGATTACTGATCAAGCCCTACAGTACCTGTATTGGAAGAAGTGGACTCCGAAAGGTGCTCCCTACAAGAAGAATGGCCAGGCCTCAGGAACCATGCTGAGGCCTGTCTATCCAGACACACCATCCCCTCACCAGACCACAAGTGGTGCCCGAGACCCACCCCAGACTCACTCAAGGTAGTCATAGAGCTTTTTCTGAACATCTAAGTCTTGGTTGCTAAAAAAAAAAAAAAGAGAAGGGTAGTTAACGGAAGCCCAAGCCCTCCTAACCCGAAGGCCTTTGCCAGCGCCAGCCAGGCTGGGGTAGGGAGAGCTGCTGGAGGGCGGAGGCATCACTTACCAACCAGGCACCCGTAGCCGGGGCTGCTCCGTGGGCAACAGGCTGAAGCGGTCCACCTGGAGATAGAACTCTGCGGTCTGGAGGAGTTAGAGGGGAAGGGGAGGTCTCAGGAGTTTGTCACGAAGAGTCAAGCCCGATAACCCGCCCAAGACAGCCCCACGACTCACCGCGCTACCCTCAGCGACCTGGACACGGACCCCGCAGTCCTGCAGCAGCAGCAGCCGCCCCTCTGTCCCGCGGAAGCCGAACTCCTTCTCCTCCCTGCGGCAAGCAGGACCCTCACTGCCGGGCCCGCAGGAACACAAGGCCCGCCCACCTCGTGCTCTCCCGCCGCAACACAAGGCCCGCCCACCTCGCGCTCTCCCGCCGGCCTCCGACGTCCGAAGACGCGGGGCGCCTCTCACCAGTCCGAGGTGTCCAGGGCCTCCCGCGTCACCAGGCATCGGACACTGTGCGTTCCGTCAGACACAAGCAGCGTGGCCCCGACGTCGGACGCATCGGGGGCGTGGGATGGGCCCGCGGCAGCTGCCTCCGCCTCCTTTAGTACCTGACGGCGGCGAGCTGCGTCAATCCCACCACCCACGGTCTCCGCCTGGGTCTCCCGGCCTTGAGTGGGGGCTCACCTCGAGCAGCTGCCCGGCTCGTGGACTGGAGAGTGTCTCTGACCCTAGAATCAGCTTTCGAATCCAGGGCCGTAAGACCAGCCTCCCTGAACCTGCCATTCCCACGGCTGCACCTAGCGGAGGCAGCAGGCCCGGGTTTCCCGCGGGCGCTCAGGCCCCGCCTCTCGTCGGAAGAGGAAGCGCCTGCGGCTGGGCGGGGCCTGAGGCGGAGGCCACGCTCACCTACATCCTGCGCCTGCGCACGAGGGCGTCCTGCTCCAGCCTGTCAGCAGTCTCCCGCTGGTCCACGGGATGCTGACCCGTTTGCTCTCATCGCGGCGGCACTCCCAGCAATGGCCCGGCGTTTGAGCCATTGGTCAGAACTCCCGCGTTACCGGGAGGGAACAGAACAAGGGCTGGTCCGGTCCTTGGAGAGAGGGATCCAAAGCCGGAGGTTGCGGCCGAGTGCCGTCCGAGCGAATTGGTTTGAAATCATCTCAGCGTCGTGTGACCCCCCAAGGGGTTCAGCACATATTATGACTCAGTTTCCTCATCTACACAATGCACGGCCTTGTAAGGCTAGTGGAAATAAGAGCACACAGCGCTCAATAAATGGTACTTCCTTCGCCCTGCCCTCGGACTGGCCAAGCCCTACTCCCCAGACTCCGGGGGCGCGCGGACCTCAGCGTGATGACGCAAGAGCGGAGGAAGGCTCTTCTTCACCCCCGGCTCCGTTTCCTAGGAAACGTGGACTCCGCGTTCCACTCTGCGTCGCTGCCCCCTTGACGTCACGCTCCGGATGGGAGGGCGGGGCGTGTGCTACCGCCAGGGGCGGGGCGGCGCGGGCGGGCCGGCCGGGCTGTGCACCTGCGCCTCGGCGGGCCGTCTGGGGCACCGTCCCGGCCCGCCCGGCCCCGCCATGGCCCGGCCGCAGAGGACTCCGGCGCGCAGTCCCGATAGCATCGTCGAGGTGAAGAGCAAAGTAAGGACCCCTCCGGCCTCGGCCCTAGGCGCTCCCAATTCCCTCTTTCTCCCCTTCCCGGCTCCTTGGTACCCGCACCTCCTCTCTATCCTCCAAGTCCCATTCTGGTTTTCTTCTCGCCTTCTCCCATCCATCTTCCTCCCTCCTCTGCTGGCCTCCAGATCCCTCTGTAGCCTGAGTACCTGGAGGGTGGTAAGAAGACCTTGGACAGCGTCCCTGGTACTGGCGCTGAGGTCTGGGCTTAAGGCTGCCGCTTTTGCGGCAGCCGTTTCTTTCCCATCCCTGCCGGCCTCGGACCTGTGGTGAGAAAGGGGCGCAGGCTATTCTTACCCCTCCTCTTTCCCCAACCCCGACTTCCAGTTTGACGCCGAGTTCCGACGCTTCGCGCTGCCCCGCGCTTCGGTGAGCGGCTTCCAGGAGTTCTCACGGTTGCTGCGTGCGGTGCACCAGATCCCGGGGCTGGACGTGCTACTTGGCTATACCGATGCTCACGGCGACCTGCTGCCCCTCACCAACGACGACAGCCTGCACCGGGCCCTGGCCAGCGGGCCCCCACCACTGCGCCTACTGGTGCAGAAGCGGGGTGAGGAGGGATACAATGGGCAGCCTCTGGGGTAAGGTGTCTGTGGGGCAGTCTACAAGGGTTAGTCCATGGCCAGGGCACCCAGGCATCACCCTCTGCAGTCCCTGCCCTTGGCCTGACCTCCAAGTGGTAGGAAATAGCTACAGTGCCCCCTGCAAAGAGCCCAAGTGGGGGAACAGGTCTCTGATCTCAGCAACCCGCCTCTCCTACAGCAGACGCTGACTCCAGCAGCCTGGCTTTTGCCTCCAACTCTCTGCAGCGGCGCAAGAAAGGGCTCCTGCTGCGGCCAGTGGCACCCCTGCGCACTCGACCACCCCTCCTAATCAGCCTGCCCCAAGATTTTCGCCAAGTTTCCTCAGTCATAGATGTGGACCTACTGCCTGAGACCCATCGACGGGTGCGGCTGCACAAGCATGGTTCAGACCGCCCCCTGGGCTTCTACATCCGAGATGGCATGAGTGTGCGTGTGGCTCCCCAGGGCCTGGAGCGGGTTCCAGGGATTTTCATCTCCCGCCTGGTACGTGGGGGCCTGGCTGAGAGTACAGGGCTGCTGGCGGTCAGTGATGAGATCCTCGAGGTCAATGGCATTGAAGTAGCCGGGAAGACCTTGGACCAAGTGACGGACATGATGGTTGCTAACAGCCATAACCTCATTGTCACTGTCAAGCCTGCCAACCAGCGCAATAACGTGGTGCGAGGGGCATCTGGGCGTTTGACAAGTCCTCCCTCTGCTGGGCCTGGGCCTGTTGAGCCTGATAGTGACGATGACAGCAGTGACCTGGTCACTGAAAACCGCCAGTCTCCCAGTTCCAATGGGCTATCTCAGGGGCCCCCGTGCTGGGACCTGCACCCTAGCTGCCGATATCCTGGTGCCCGCAGCTCTCTGCCCTCCCTGGATGACCAGGAGCAGGTCAGTTCTGGCTGGGGGAGTCGCATGCGAGGAGATGGTAGTGGCTTCAGCCTCTGACAGGCGGGATGCAGCCCCATGCCACTCCACACTGCTGGGCCATGGCAGGGACTTCATAGTGGGGGTTTTTAGCGGGCTCTCAGGGCTCCCTCAGCTTGGGGAATATTAAAGGTTTTCTACAAATACAGTCATGGTCCTTCTGTGTCCCAGCCCCAGCCTCCTCCCTGGTCCCACTAGTTTGCCTTCTGCTCTGGACTAAGGCAGGAGTGACAATTGGGAGAACTTCCTACAATTGCGCAGCAGGAGGGTCACCAGGATTGGCATTTTTAGGGTAAGAAAAGCTCTTAAGGAAACAAATCCTGTGTACAAACGGTTTAATTTTGACAAAACAGTTAAAAGGCTGGGATGGCCCTTCTGTAGCCACTGGTGGCTTGAGAAAAGTGCTCTAGGGACACTGGCCACCTCTCTGCTCCTGTCTTCAGACCTCTGATCTGGAAATGGGCCCGACCCTGTCCTTTTCAGCCATGTGACTGGTGATACTCAGCATGTACCTCCCTGCTAATTGTCCCCCAGAGGGGCTCAGGTGTCCATCTTCACGAAGACTTTGGGCCGGGAAAAAATTCTGATGGCCTCCTCTACCTGCACCAGCTTCCGGTCCAGCTCAGCACGGTGGCTCTGAGCTCTCAGTGAGTCTGCCCCAGCAGGCAGCAGTACCAGCTCACGCAGCAGCTGGTTCTGGCCTACAGGGGGCCCAAGAACAGTGAGTGTTGGGCATGTGCCCAGTCCCCAGTGGGGTCCCCCTCCAACCTCCCCACTCAGGTACTCACTCTGAAGCAGCTTGCTCAGTGTTTCTAGCCGCTGGTTCTCAGGCATGCGCGTGTGGCCTGGAGGCACGGCTGGGTCCGGCTGGCTCTGCTCACGGGCCTCGGCCTCCCGCCGCCACAGGTCCCTGCGCTCCAACAAGCTGTGGGTGCACAGGCTCAGGGTTGATGACCCCAGGGCACAGATTGGTTCCCACCCTCCCCAGATGCCCCTTGCCCTGTGTGTCGGGCAGTGAGACCTACTAATGGGGCACGTGGCCCTTCTGCGTGGCATTGTAGTGCTCCTGGGCCTGCCGCTGCTGCTCTAGCACCTGTGCCAGGACCTGCAGCGAGCGGGAATGCCTCCGGGGGGCCCTCTTGGCAGCTTGGGCATTGTGACGAATGAAGTTCACCCCCAGGCCTGGCCCCTGCAGGATACAGCCAAGTGTGGGTGGTGGCAGAGAGCATTATGTGGTCTCTGAACCCCCCGACACACACTGGGAGCCCTGCGCAACCACCATCCACTCACCTTAGCTTCAGAACCTGGTGGGTTTGGCTGGGGACTGGGAACACGGGGTGGTGGGAGGCCAGGGCCACAGCGGGAGTGCGCCCGCAGGAAGTGGGCAGACTCTGTCCCAAAGGCAGGGCCAGGCTCCTGGAGGGCAGGGCACAGCAGAGAGAGCAAGCAGGCTGAGGTCTGGAGCTGAAACCTCAGGACTCTGGCTCTCTTGGCCCTTCTGACCTGCATCCATGTCCCTCGGGGCCTCTTCCCTCCTCAAGGGATACTTGTTCTCATAAACGTGCGGATATCAGATTTTTTTTTTTTTTTTTTTTTTTTTTGAGACGGAGTTTCACTCTTGTTACCCAGGCTGGAGTGCAATGGCGCGATCTCGGCTCACCGCAACCTCCGCCTCCTGAGTTCAGGCAATTCTCCTGCCTCAGCCTCCTGAGTAGCTGGGATTACAGGCACGCGCCACCATGCCCAGCTAATTTTTTGTATTTTTAGTAGAGACGGGGTTTCACCATGTTGACCAGGATGGTCTCGATCTCTTGACCTCGTGATCCACCCGCCTCGGCCTCCCAAAGTGCTGGGATTACAGGCTTGAGCCACCGCACCCGGCCGGATATCAGATTTGTAAGAAAAGAATAACCACCTCTCCTTCTGTCTTAGTACTGGGCAAGCCACCACTCTCTCCCCTCCTTCCTAGCCAAGCTTCCTGGCTCTAGTCCCCCAAAGTTCCTGATGGCTGGCCTCCAAGTCCTCAAATCCAGGCAGTCACTTCCTTGGTCTCGTTGTCCTCAACCTGATTGTCAATAACTCCTAGGTCTTACTCCTCAGATCCAGGCCTGAATTTCCATCTGCTTCCTGGACACAATCCCACCCCCTGGGAGCCCCACAGATGCTTCATCCCTGACACATTCGTGTGACCTTGCCCTTCCTCTCATTCTTACTCCTCCTGCTGAGTCCTTGGATGGAGGGATGGTGCTGCTCTCTACTCAAGACAGAGCCCCCACCCCACACCATACCTCTGCCCTTCCCACTGTCCTCAGAAATAAGGGCTGAAAGTGGCTAATGTGGCCCTTGATGTGGGTCCAGCTGACTTCTTGATCTAACCTCACGCCTTTCTTTCCTCACAGTGAACTGTACCTAGCATCTCCACTGCTATGTGTCCTGTGATCGGTGAGGTTTTATCTTTTGAGAATGTTTTCTGCTGTCCCCTTCCCTAATTGCTGCTTGCCCCTTAGGATCAGCCCCCCACCATCACCACTTTGAGAAGGCCCCCCTCAGCCCCGCCCTGCAGCAGAGTCAGGGTCTCTTAGTCCTCTGTTACCTCTGTGAGGTAACCTCCCCAGATCAGAATATAATTAATTGCCTGTTGGCCAACAAAATCAATAATACTTCTGGCTCCCTGAGGCAGGTACCTGCAGCTGTGCCTTGACCCGGGACTCCACCTTGTCGTACTTGGGCGAGCGCCACAGAGCTTTCAGGGGCCTAGGCTGGCCCTGCTCCTGGCTGTGCTGTCGTTCTCTGAAGCGCTTCTGAATCTCCCTGATCCGCCTCAGGTTCTCCTTCTCATGGTCTTTAGGGTCCTTCCCTAGAGAAAAGATGCTGCCAGGCTCTGCCCTACATATGGCCCACACAATCCAATTTCCACCAGTTCACACACATGCCTGTCCTCCGCCCTTTACAGAAAGAGCCCTCTGACCTCTCATCTACCTCATCACCGTGTTCCCTTCGTCACGTAGTATCTCGTGATGATTTTCTCATTGAGACAGGGTCTCACTCTGTCACCCAGGCTGGAGTACATGATCACAGCTCACTGCAGCCTCAACCTCCCTGGGTCAAGTGATCCTCCCACTTATAATCCCACTGGGATTAGAGACATACTCCACCATGCTGGGCTAATTTTTGATTTTTTGCAGAGATGGGGTTTCACCATGTTGGCCAGGCTGGTCTCCAACTCCTGGGCTCAAGTGATCCACCTGACTCGGCCTCCCAAAGTACTGGGATTACAGGCATGAGCCACTGCTCCCAGCTGATTTTCTCCATTATTACAGTGAAGTATACTATTATCTCATATATGACATTCATCTCTTGTTCTTTGTCTCTCACCTTGACTCGATGGCTCATGCTTGTCTTCAACCCTGTGTTCCAGCACCTATATGGCCTGACACACAAGTCTGACGGGTAATAAATGCATGAAGCAGAGCTAGGGCTTTGTGGGAACGACCTCATTCAGTTCCCCTCCGAGAAGATAGCACATTTCTCCCCCTTTTATGGTTGGGGAAACTGAGACTCAAGAGAGCAAAGCCTGGACCCAGGTCAGGAGGGAAAGAGCAGCTGCTTTGATGTCTTTCCACCCCAAACCGTCTCTATGCCCCTTCTTCCCTTCCGGGGACTTACTCTTGAGAGAGGCCCCAGGACCTAGAGAGATGCCCTCAAGTTGCAACAGCACGTCCCCGACGCCACGCCGGCCGCGCTCCAGGACCTCTCGGGCGCCGGGACCGATGCAGGGGCCACGGGGAGCTGTGGCGTCCAGGGCCCAGTACGAGGTTAGCAAGTCCAGCTTCAGCGCGTTTCCCTCTAGGCGCCCTTGAGCTGCGTGTGGGGCGGAGCCGAGCGGAATGCGGGGCTCAGAGGTGGAACCGAGGCCGACCCCCGAGCCTCTCGTCACCGCCGCGCCCCCGTACTCACCAGAGGCCGGCCGCCGGTAGTAGTCAGGGCAAAGCGTCGGGTCTGGGGGGATGGGCCCCGAGATACGGGAGGGGCCCTCGCACATGGCGCCGGCGCCGCCCTGCAAAGGGACCCCGAGGCCTGTCGGGCTGTGTACTTGCCTCCCTGGGCCCCCTTCCCAGCTCCAGGCCTCCTTCCTAGTCCGGGACCCTGACCCTGACCCGGACCCAAGAGGGCCGCCACTCCCGGGACCCTCCCAGTCCCCGCCACGACCTCGGCCCCGTTTGTCGCCTCCGCGACCTCTGCTACCAGCCCATTTCCCGGTCCCGCTCGCGCCCCACCCCCCGCGGCACTGGGGCAGTAGCTCACTAGAGCGGTTTTGCAGCCAGCTGCTGCCACTCGACGGGAGTAGTTGTTGCCGGGCAACCGTGGCTTCCGTTCCCGGGGTCAGGGCTCACTGACCCTGGCGCAAAGCCTCCTGGGGCTTGTAGTTTCGGTCGAGGGTGGCCGCCGGTCTCGCTTCCGTTTTGTCCTAGCTTGCTGGCCGGTCTCCGGGAGCTGCGCGGGGCCACCATCCAACCCCTCGGGGTCCGCCCCAGGCAATTGTCGAGGTGCACTGAGCCCGCGCAGCCATGGCCTCGGCAGGCGCGGAGAGGCTCCCGGGGTTCCAGGAGGCGACGGTCGTGGGGCAGGCACTGCTCCTGGAGGACCCTGGCCGCGCTCAGACCTCTGAGGTGACCATCAGGCTGTTTAGCATTCAAAGACGGGGCCGCAGAGCTCTGAGAGGCGGAACTCTGAGCGTCCCGACCCCCTAACTGCCGGGCTGGGCTCTCCAGGAGGAGAAAGGCACAGGCTGTTTCGGTGTCTAAAGTTAGGTGTTCAGTGACTGATTCCTATATCTTTTGCCCGGCCATGGTGACCGATGGTCTGTGTGTCACCTCTAGTGTCCAGTGACGGGAGACCAGTTCCTGGTGCCAGCCCATGAGGCCGGCGGGACCCAGGGTGAAGACCAGCCCCCAGCAGGAGCCGCTTCAGAGCCGGAGCTCCAGGAGGAAGGACCCAAGCTGGAGGAAGAGAGGCCCAAACCGGAGGCTGGTGCGCTAGAGGAGAGAGACCCCAGGCCCGTGGTCTCTGTAAGGCCCGGTCATGGTCCAAAGAGGAAGCCTGTCAAGTGAGGGGGCTCTCGGAGGGAAGGAGCTGCAGGCCCAGGGATGGGGCTCACACTCCAGTAGGATTCCATTTTTTTTTTTTTTTTTTTTTTTTTTGAGACGGAGTTTCGCTCTTGTTACCCAGGCTGGAGTGCAATGGCGCGATCTCGGCTCACCGCAACCTCCGCCTCCTGGGCTCAGGCAATTCTCCTGCCTCAGCCTCCTGAGTAGCTGGGATTACAGGCACACACCACCATGCCCAGCTAATTTTTTGTATTTTTAGTAGAGAAGGGGTTTCACCATGTTGACCAGGATGGTCTCGATCTCTTGACCTCGTGATCCACCCGCCTCGGCCTCCCAAAGTGCTGGGGTTACAGGCTTGAGCCACCGCGCCCGGCATTTTTTTTTTTTTTTTTAAAGATGGGGTGTCACCATGATGGCCAGGCTGGTCCTGAACTCCTGACCTCAGGTGATCCACCCACCTCGGCCTCCCAAAGTGTTAGGATTACAGGCGTGAGCCACCGCGCCCGGCCTTCAGTAGGATTCCTAAATCCTGCACTCCTGCAGGCGTGATTCTTGTGTCCACCACTACTACCCTTAATCCCCTCTCCTTCTGTTCCTGAAGACCTTCCCCCCACTACCCCTATGTAGGGAGTGGCAGGAGAGAGGGGGCTTCAGGGTTTGTAGGGCACCTGGCTCTAAGCCTCTCTTGGGCCTGGGGCCTCACTGACCAGGAACGGGGCAGGCATCGAGCCCTGGGGTGGTGGGCAGCCTGGGCAATTCCCTGGGCCGGGGCTGGAGCCTGGCTCCTCAAGTCTCTTGTCCCTGGCTCAGGTCCCTCAGCCTCCCGGGCCACGGTGCCCATCTGAGGGCTAAAGCTGAGCTGCTACCCAGGCTGCTGCTGCAGGAGGAGGAGCCAGAGGGCAGCCAGAGTGAGGTCTCACCATCTGCCAAACAGCACAAAAAAGCCAAGAAGCGCAAAAGCCTGGGGGCTCCTGTGTTCCACGCTGTGGCCAGCGCGGTGTCTGCACCCTTAGAGATGTTGGGGCTGGAGCGTGAGTGGCAGTCCCTGAGCTGTTCCTTCTCCCCCTGCCTGTGGGGCCGGACCTGGCACAACCTGGCACTCCAGCCTCCGCCCTGCCCCGGGTCTTTGCAGGAAAGGCCCAGCGCCTGCGGCCGCTGTACCAGTACATCAACTATTGCAACCCTGAGCTGAACCAGGTGGGGGAGGGGGACAGGGAGGCCGAGGCGGATGCAGAGGCAGAGCTGGCCCTGGTTCCTGAGAAGGCAGGTGTGGAGCAATTGCAAGCCTTGCTGCCCTTGGCAGGTAAGCTGGGCCCAGGCCTCGCTTTGCCCTGTCCCAGTCCGTTAGTGCCCCCCACCCATGCTTTGGCTCCCCTTGGAGAGGAGGCTGGAGAAGAGCCTGGGGGCCTACCCAGCTTGGGGGTGAGTGACCACCTCAAGATTGAGGTGGAGAAGTCAACCCAGGTGGACATCGACAAGATGCTGAGTGTCTGCACTTCTCCCCTTGTCCCCCCACTCTCTCCTCAGTACAAGTGACAGTCCCACCCCACTGGTGGCTCCCCTCCTTCCAAGCCTGAACTTGGCTTCAGGCTTCCTGTGGACCTAGGCCCTCTGGTGGAGGGGGCAAATTTGGTACCTGCCCTCACTTGGGATTTTGGGCTTGCTAAAATAAACATTTTTTCTTTTTTGAAGACTTTGTAATTCCCCAGATAGGCTGCCTGAACTGGGAAAGAGGATGGAGGACTCAACAGTGCAGGTTTTGCATCTGCATCACCCATGACCTTGACAATGACAGATTCCTTTGTGCCACTCCACGCCTCCCTGAATCAGGATGGGCTTGGGGCTGTGCGTTTAGGTGAATCTGAGGGTCAGGCAGCTAACTGGGTGATGAAGAGGGAAGTGAGAAGGAGGAACTTGGGGCAGATAAAAGAAAGGGTCTGTCAGGTCATGAGAAGCAGGTGTTTAGCCCTGCTCTCTGTCTTCCGAGGAAGGGCCTGCATTTGTCTCACCTTGAGGGGATCAAAACTTGGGATCCCCTAGGAAGTGGCAAAAGTTCATTTGCCTGTTGCAAGAATGACAGCTTTGGGATGTTTTCCACTCATTGCCAGACCATAGCTGGACCGAACCTTGTCCGTGGAGTAGCTCCTGGTCACAGGTGAAGGGGCATCAGTGATGTTGTCCTGGTAGGGTTGGGGTGGGAGGGCAGTAAATGCATCTGGGGTCCTGAGACCAAGCCACTGGATGACAGCTGTGTCCAACCATCAGGGATCTCTGGGAAGAGCCAGCTGGTGCTGGCCATTTTGGAAACTGCACATCCTGCTGCCTCCTGGGCCTCCTCTGTGTTCCTTAGACACTGCAAACAGACACAGGGAATTTCAAGTTCATGGATAATTTCCCCTCCCTCCAACTGCTTTTCCTCCTGTATCTCATCTGTGCAATTGTTTAAGCTAGAATCTTGGGTGTTACCCCAGAACCCATCCTGTTCTTTGTTCCCTGATTCCTACAAGCTAAGCAGACATTGAGGCCAGTGAGCATACCCTTTCAGGCTAAGAATCTCTCAACCCCCATAGTCAGCACTGTTGCCTGGGCCACTGTCATCTTCAGGTGACAGCCTCGCTGGTCTCCCTGTGTGTCTTCCCTTAGCCCACAGATCCATCCATTGGCCCTGCGACAAACACCTGAGCCCTTGATGGTGTCACTCCCCCTTGGGATCCTCCTCCTCTTGCCCCAGGCACCTTCGAACTCAGTGGCTTCCCATAATTCCCTGAGCAGTTTCACCTTTTCTTTGCTTCGCTCTGCATGTGGGGCTTCCTCTGCCTAAAATGCCTTGATTCTCACCTCTCCCCCTGGCTACTGCATACATACGCTTGGAAACTTGGGGCCCTGCTTCCGGGAGAGCCATGTTGCCCTGCATTGTAGCACCTACACACTACTATCGTGGGCTATAACTGTCTTCAGGACTAGACTGTGAACTCCCTCGGGGCACATGTCATTGCATCACATCCATCTAACCAGAGGGCCCCCTGAAAGACACCAATGTGAGGAGACTAAAGTGAGGAAGCTGCAGAGAGGGACAGGCCAGAATCTGAAAGGCTGAGGCCATCCCAAGTCACAGTCATGTCTAGGTTCCCTCGAGTACAGCCTGGCAAGGTCACTGGAGGGAGTGGGGTGGGCAGGCTCAGGTAGAAAAAGCAGGGGGTCTCCTTTCCTGACATCATCCCAGGCTGCTCCCTCCTTTGACAGGGTCACTTGGATGCTCACTGGCCCCATGGACCTTTTTTTTTTTTCTCTTTGAGACAGGGTCTCCCTCTGTTGCCCAGACTGGAGTGCAATGGCACAATCTCTATCTCCTGGACTCATGGGATCCTCCCACCTCGGCCTCCCAAGTAGCTGGGACTACAGGTGTGTGCCACCACACCCGGCTAATTTCTGAATTTTTTAGTAGAGGTGGGGTTTTGCCAGGTTGCCCAGACTGGTCTTGAACTCCCGGACTCAAGTGATTGGCCTAGCTTGGTCTCCCAAATGTCCCAAAGTGGACTTTTTTCTTTCTTTCTTTCTTTCTTTTTTTTTTTTGAGACGGAGTTTCGCTCTTGTTACCCAGGCTGGAGTGCAATGGCACAATCTCGGCTCACCGCAACCTCCGCCTCCTGGGCTCAGGCAATTCTCCTGCCTCAGCCTCCTAAGTAGCTGGGATTACAGGCACGCGTCACCACGCCCAGCTAGTTTTTTGTATTTTTAGTAGATACGGGGTTTCACCATGTTGACCAGGATGGTCTCGATCTCTCGACCTTGTGATCCACCCACCTCGGCCTCTCAAAGTGCTGGGATTACAGGCTTGAGCCACCTCGCCTGGCCCTTTCTTTCTCTTTTTAAATTTATTATTATTTTTTAAGATGGGGTTTCACCATGATGGCCAGGCTGGTCTTGGACTCCTGACCTCAGGTGATCCACCCACCTTGGCCTCCCAAAGTGCTAGGATTATAGTGCTAGGATTATAGTCTTACTCTGTTGTCCAGGTTGGAGTGCAGTGACACGATCAGCTCAGTGTAGACTCTTACTCCTGACCTCAAGCCATCCTCCCGCCTCAGCCTCTTAAGGTGTTGGGATTACAGGCATGAGCTATCGCACCCAGCCTGGGGCAAGACATTTATTTCTTTTCTGCTATAGACTTCCCTGGGTAGTGATTTGATCACCCTAGGTGATACTGTCCACGAGGACCGTGCAGATCGAATGTTGTGTATAGGAATGAGCACAGATTCTTCAGGGTTTATCAGAGCTTGAGGGTCCTTCAAGATAATTAAACTTTTTTTTTTTTTTTTTTTTTTTTTTTTTTTTTTTTTAATTTAGACAAGATCTCACCGTCACTTAGGCTGGAGTGCAGTGGTGTGATCATGGCTCGCTGTGGCTTTGACCTCTTCGGTTCAGACACCCAAGTAGCTGGGACTATAGGTGTACACCATCATGTCTGGCTAACTAAAAAATAATTTTTTAAATTTGAGATAGAGTCTCACTCTGTTGCCCAGGCTGGAGTGCAATGGGGTGATCTTAGCTCACTGCAACCTCCGCCTCCCAGGTTCAAGCCATTCTCCTGTGTCAGCCTCCCAAGTAGCTGGAATTATAGGCATGCACCACCATGCCTGGCTAAGTTTTGTATTTTTAGTAGAGACGGGGTTTCACTATGTTGGCCAGGCTGGTCTCGAACTCCCGACCTTGTGATCTGCCCACCTCGGCCTCCCAAAATCCTGGGATTACAAATGTGAGCCACTGTGTCCAACCAAAAAAAATTTTTGTGGACGTAGGGTCTCTCTATTGTTGGTCAGGCTGGTCTCAAACTCTTGACCTCAAGTATTCTTCCTTCCTTGACCTCCCAAAGTGCTGGGATTACAGGCATGAGCCACCACACCCAGCCAAGACAATTGAGCTTAACCTCCTTGCTTTATGGTTGGGAAGGCAAAGGCCTGGAGAGAAGTGGCCTTGCATGAGACCACACCCGAGGATCTGGGAACCCCTGTATAAGTTTTGCAGGATCTGCACACCTGGGGACTCTCTGGCTAAGGCCTGACCCAAGAAGGCCTCCA